AGCGGTGTCTTCCTGACGGCAGCCCGCAAAGGCAGCGTGTCCTGGGTAACCTCTGCTGAACAGCAGCGTGCCCGGGGCCCTGGCCTCTGCTCTGAGCAGGGGCAGCCTCTCCCTTTGGAAACGTGCTCTTCGGGCCTGGATTCCTTTAAGGAGATTTCCGAGGGCAAAGGGATTTGAGCGGTTTGCTGGGCAGTGGCGGCTCTTCAGCACGTCTCTCCTGCTGCTCTGCTGCTGTTTGGTGTCTCTGCAGAGCCCTTCGCTCATTCCTGGTGGCAGAGGACCTGCTTCTGCTGAAGAAGGGGCTAAATCCAGCCTCCTTTTTACTTTTTTTCCACGTAACTGAGCTCAGAGCTTAGGTTTAGGGGAAACTGGAGCTGCTGTTAACTCCAGGGCTCCCTCCGTTAAGTGGGTCCCAGCTTTCATCAAACCACCCCTGGTGCTTCCCCTGGGCTCAGCTCTGCTGGTCCATCCTGAAGGCTGTGACACCCTGAATGTATCATCTTTTGGGCACATGTTCCTCTGCTGGGTCCAGCCCTGCTGCTGGATGGGATGTCACAGGGAATTTGCTGGCTTGCAGACAAAGCAGGTGGAAAATGCTGGTGGGTTATGTGCAGAGTTGGGGTATTTCTGCATCCCTGAGTTTGGAGCACAGGAGGGTGCAGTGCCAGGGCTGTGGGTGAATCGATGCAGCACCCTTGGTGTGTTATAGGGCTAGGGGGATGCTGTGTGCGGGGACTTTGACCAGAGCAAAAACTTCCCGTTCTTCCCTAAAATCCCTGGCTCTGAGCATCCTCTTGGGCTGTTGCAGCCCATCCTGCTCCTCTTTCCGTTGCACAGAAGTGGATTTTCACCTCCTCTTGCAGAGCCACTTGAGCAGCCCGAGCTGCTGCTGACGCACGGGGTGAGCAGTGCAGGGTGTCCCCAGTGTCACAGCTTGTTCCACCTCGCAGGTGAAGGACCAGGAGCTGGCGCTGGCATCACGTGGACCCTCAAGGCTGTAACACTCGTCCCTGTTCCAGCAGGGCTGTCACTGCAGTGAATCCCATGGGATGGGGATGGCTTCAGCACCAATCCAGTTACCTTTGCACCTTCCACCCGGTGCCGTTGGTGTGGGCATCGCTGTGTGGGGCTGTGTAACAAGAAGCTGTGCACTCGCCTTGAGTCCTCCCAGCCCCTCTGGATGCTTTAAGGCTCGGGAATGAAAGGAGAGGTGCAGGGAGCTCATGGAATGAGCAATCCTGCTTCAGTCTGGGTTGGTGGCAGCTGGAGGGCTGGCAGGACACTGTCACAGAGCAGTACCTGGCACAAACCCACGGACGTACCTGACCTCTCTTTCTCCTCTCTTGTTTTTCTTGCAGGTTTATTTACCAGGGACCCATAATCTCCATTATTTACGTGCAAGGAGGGAAGTTGAAGATGAGGGAAGATGATGATGATACAGATGATCCCTGGTGTGCAGGATCTCTGGCAATGTGAAATCTTTGGGTGTTACTTTTTGTTGGGATGGGGGGTTCTGGGGGTGCGGGAGGGGGCTGCAGGGGCCTGTGGAAGAGCAGCAATCATGCTCATGAGACTTTAACCCAGTCCAGAGAGCA